ACCTCCATTTAACGTCCTATCCGAGGGACGTCCCTAGCCGAAGTTAGGTACTCATTTCCACCTGAGTGAAGTGAGGAAAGTCGTGTAAAGTGCCTTTCCCAAGGGCACAAGATCGGTGACATGGGCAGGGTTCGAACCCACGACCTATCGGGTGTGAGCTGAACGCGCTACCGACTGTGCCACACGAGCCCACGACATGCTTTTTACATGCACCTCATCCTTTTGCTGAATTTGTACTTGAAAATGTCTGAGAATCCCGGAAATGTGTTGGTGACGGCTCTAATATTTTGGAAAGATGGTTACAAAGCCATACCGATCTGACACCACAAGCTGCCCCTCCCCACCTGTAGCAACTTGCATGGGTAGTTTAATGTAAGCTATGGTGCGGATGTGCTCTCCCTCGGCTGTGAACATCTCCACTCGGCTGTTCCAAGTATCAGCCACAATCACACGCCCCAAACTGTCCACACAGATTCCCGAGGGCTGAGAAAGATTCCCTGCTCCACTACCTTTGCTGCCAAAACTGGACAGCAAGACTCCGTTCTTGTCATACTTAAGAATACAAGAGTTTGACACGTCTATGACATAGATGATCCCATTCATGTCTACAAAAGGGATCATTACTGTAACAGATCGTAGATATGCTGGTATATACCCTGGAACTGGCAGCCTGGTCATGTTACCGGTACATGTTGGTGTCCGTGTATAAGTAGGACTAAACCACACAATTTTGGGCCCTTTTCCTGTCAGTATGATTCTGTCAGAAAGCTTGTGCCAGGCAATCCCATAGATTGCTGTAGTTTCGCTGCATGGGAACTTGGCCAGTTCATGGCCCTCTTTGCTGTACTGTTGGATGACATTTTCGTACATGTAAGTGGAAGGTATGCTGATGAGACTGTACAAAAGGACCCACAGGGTGTCGTTGTGGCCCATGCACACGGCACGTGGTTTCATGTTTCCTGTGGAGAAACTGCGAAGGAAAACCCCCTTCATGCTGAAGACCTGGATTGTGTAGTTGGGCTCGTCAGCCACAAATATCTCGTTAGTCGAGGACACGGCAAGCCCACTCACATGGTCAAACTGGCCGGGGCCTTGTCCTTTCCCACCAAAGGTGATATTCTTTTTCACTTCTGCTGATAAAACAGAGTATAACACTTAGTGTAGTGGGCACCACTTTCTAGATTCTAATACGCTGGTATATACATGTAGATAGGTAGATTGATTTTGATAAATAGATATTAGATAGATAGAAAGATAGAATATAAGATATATATAGAGAGATATAGATAGATATACATGTAGATAAATAGATACTATTGCATGTCATTGACCTGGCATGACCCTGATTACGAGTAATGGATCACGCTTATGATATTGTTTTTGGTGTATATATTGTTGTATTTCCGTGTATATATGTGTCATACCCAGGGCCACTCTGTAAGGCAGTGCTATGTCACTGAGTAGTGCTACCCTGGTTAAAGAATACAGAAATAAATAAATAAACTATTTTCACAATTTAGCACTTCAAAATAACGAAAAAGTTGTAGACAGTATCGTTTTGAGATGAAGATCATACTCATCTCATACTATAAGAAACATTCAATTAATCAATTTCTTCAATTAATTTACCACTGAAAAGACATGATCATGCTTAAGGCACAAAGTGCTACCAGAGAAGAAGAGAAGTGAATATTAGGAAAAGTTGTATCGTTGTGACATGAGTGCTACCAGAAGAAGAGAAATAGATATTTGTAGAACTGTTGTGTGTGAAGTTCGCTAGGACACTTGTGAGGTCAGAGTACAGAGACTGGCTACCTCCACAGAGATCACAAATAACTGGCCGTAGTACTAGAAACATTGAGATGCTAGACTGTCCGAGAGCAAGAACGAAATAGATACAAGAACTCGCCGATACCGTTTATGGTCCAGCTCCTCAATAACTATAGACTGAACCCTTGACTGTTGTCTTGTAACATGTATTTTTATTCCAAACCTGTAGTTTTAATATACTAATGCTCTGTAAATTGGTTTAAAATTCAGTTGTTTTTAACTGCGAAGAACCAATAAATCCATCTTGAATCTTGAATCTTGTACCCACCTGCACAGTGGTACGTTACTTCCAGGTACTTCTTTATGCCCGGGCATGGCCTGTGTAGTCTGAAGTAGGGATGGAAACGATCGTCTACTTTCTGGTTACACTGCTGCAACCCCTGACATTGTGCCCTTATCCTGGACTGTTGCCTGTTACAAAATGTACAAAAGTATGTTAAAACCATCAGTTGTTTTTATCAAATTGACACATATGAATAGCTTAAGGGTTATGTAGAAATCAGACAGCTGTGAATTTTAGAAATGTCAACACATTTTTCTGCAATATCTGTAGACATCTCAACTACAACAGTTACAGTACAACTTATTTACACGTTAAATAGCAAGAGAAAAAATTACAGGACGAACATTTGATGTAAGGTACAAAGTCATGTAATTAAGAGGAAAATTAATGAATAATCAGTTGAATGTTTTAAGCAAAAGTCCAATTAATTCTCCCAACGAAGAAAGAATATCAGATGTTACAACTAAAGATTATAGTTGCCATCAAGGTTCTAGAGGACCTCGCCTGGCTAAATCGGACTCCTAGTGGCCAGCCCACCCAAGGGGGTCCGCATGCCCTTTTCCGTAGAGCGTAATCGGCCATTTTAATTTTACGTAAAGCGTAGACAGACCACTCTAATTCAACATAAAGCGTAATTGGCGCATTTTGCATAGAGCGTAATTCGCCATTTTAATTCTACATAATGCGCTGTAGCCACTTGGAATTTATAGTAAGAGATATATAGAGATATTTGTGGCTGACCAGCCCGACTACACAATCCAGGTCTTCAGCATGAAGGGAGTTTTCCTTCACAGTTTCCCCACAGGAAACATGGAACCACGTATTGAGAGGTTTCCTGAATTCAGTGTAGCCAGCTCTTAGAATTTAGCCTAGAGCGTTGTCAGGACCCCCCCATGCAGGCCCCCACCCAACGGTTGCTGCCAAGAGTTTGGCTACAATCGGACATACCTTTTAGAGGGCTGCTAGCTCGTTAGCTATAGGGGTGGGATTAGATCGGTTATGGTGCTCCTACCTCCTAAAGACATGTTGACACGTGTCACAATACTTGAGTGTACATTCACTGCGAGGACCGTTTTCCGGCCTCCAACCGGAGAAGGCTTCGTCGATCACGATCAGCTCATTCGCTGCACAAGACAGTCGCATGGTCTCCCATTCGAAGGATGTTTCTGCATCAATGATAGCATCTTACCTTAAGGCCACATCAATGTACATGTAATTTATTGGCTCTCAGATTTATTCAGAAGAGTGTAAAGCAACAAGGTGGAGAAAATTCTATGACAACCAAACTAATCCTAGTATTGTACAGTTACTGTAGATGTACCAGTTTGTTAGCATTTGACAATTAAAAATGTGCAAAACATTAGATAAATTCACTTTTGAAAGTATATAAACTGTAATTGGTATTTTTGTACATCTTTCACCTGTTACTTACTCAAATTTCATACCACTATATATATATATATATGTGTGTATAGGCTATATTTCTTATAATACATGATTATACTTAGTCTTACTTTTGTAGGTGGTTAGGTTGGTACCATTGATAACTCCAAGGCTTGGTGCGGTGGTACCATCAGTGGTCCCAAGGCTGGATGGGGTGGTACCATCAGTGGTCCCAAGGCTGGATGGGGTGGTACCATTGATACCACCAAGGCTGGGTGGGGGGGTACCTTCAGTGGTCCTGATGGTAGCTTCATATATTAGTTCTGTTGCATTCAGTGTACTCGAGTTCTTGACTTCTTCCATGGTCTGAAAAAAACAAGACAAACCAGCTGTGTACCTATTGCACAGTACTGTATTCTGGACATTTAATGTCAAGAAAAATATTATCACAACATATTTTTTGTATCTCACTGTCTTGTTTAAAATTTCAGCTGCAGAATTTCATTTTGAAGCACTAAAGATAGGCAGTTTATTGATTTATTTATTTTATCAGAAGTTGACTGGGTAGCCCCATTCAGTTTTAATTGGATGTTTTCCAAGGGGGCCCAGCAAAATTACACAAGACATTGTTACATACGTAACCGTAAAACAAGAGTGGACAACATACAGTAAACATAAAAGTCTGATGCGTCAAAACAGAGTCATAGTCCTATACTCAAAGTCCTAGCCGTTCAAAGGTCAAAAACACGAAAATCAGGATTTAAGCAGTAACTTAAAGGTTTAGACCTTAGACCCAATCAAAGGATGCATAGGTCTGTTTTTATTTTTTTCCCTGTCGCTTCAATTTTTTCTAAAAGATCCAAGAACCAACAAATCGAATTTCTTCTTGTTCTTGTTTGGGTACTGCACAACACCCCTAAATTGGGGTAAAACGTGCAGGGGAGCTGTGCGATGCGCTATTGCTGCGTCCTCAGGTGTTGTAGTACTGCAGCGTTGAACTTCGTAGGTTCCGCAGTATCAGTTATCTCTTGGGGCAAAATGTTCCAATCTCTGACAGTTTGTGGAAAGTATGAATATTTGTAACAGTCTTTGTGAAACGTTAGTGGTTTGTATGAGTTGGAGTTGAATTGTCGCGATTGACGCGGGATAGGCGTTAACAAGGTTTTGACCGGAAGGGCTGTTTTTGAGTGTCTTGCTTTTTGAAGTAATGTGAGTCTACTTGCTGTGCGTCTGTCCTTTAATGTGTCCCACCCTAAATCTGTGACCAATTTGTGTAGCCTAAACTTAAAGTGTAAAATTGAGCCCAGACAAAGATGTTGACTTTACCTTTTGCATACCTATGTTGACTCCCGTGGTGATTGTTCCCACCAGAAACAGGAAAACCACCAAAACACGGAGAAAACTTTTACAATACTCTGCAAAACAACCTTTTTTAAGTTTAAAAAATCTCATATAAGGCCACACTGACTTAATTTTATGGATGACATCCTTTGAAGACCCCCAAACTAGTGCGCGCGGGCGAATAAAAAAAAATCCGGCCAAAAATAAAAATGCTACTAAACCACAGGAATACAAAGCTGGTATTGTGAATTTGCGTCAGTACATAACTGTTACGACACTTACGACAAGCCGGCACATGCTGACTTTTTGTGGAATTTATAAATCAGCACTGTACGTATGTACCGAGTTCTTGAGTCGTGGACCTTCGGTAGCCTGGGTGCCATCCTCCAGAGTTACCACCTCCGTATTGTCGCTAACTACCATGGACTACCCAGGCCTAGAGCCAGACCAGAGCCTTGGAGGACGTGATCTTTTTTTTTTTTGAGAACAGGCAAAAATCAATGCGCGAGTGGATGTCATCCATAAAATTAAATCGGTATGGCCTAAGTAGTTTTACTTACTAGAATATAAAAAACATGCATGGCACAGGCACAATAATCCAGTATGTAATTAGGAAATTTAGAACCAGAAAACATCAATTTGATGAAATATGCAGCTAAATAAAAATTGCACAGCAGAATCCCTAGAAACTTATCAATGATAAACAATAATAATAAACATAATCATTGACGTCATAAGAAATATCAATAAAACATAATAGCAAAGTCATAATGCTCAAAATAACAAGTCTTAATAGTGAGTTGTAGATACATTAATCAATTGAAAGTAGTTTGCAAATCATAAGAAAACAACTAAGGCCACACCAATTTAATTTGTTGGTTCTCGGATTCGCCTCTTCATTTTTTTCTGATTTGCAAAAAAAAAGATTCTGGTTCTGAATCAACTCAAAAATGCTCATATTTTGCCACCAACAGTTGAGGAAAGTCCTTTTCTTCCTAGTTGTTACAGTTTTTCCCATCTATCAATGCAGTGGTTTGATTAAAAGTTCAAAATTTATACTTTAAATTTTAACCCAGCCTTTTTTGTTGACTTCATGGCTCATATTGTAGCATTTGGGGCTATAATAGGATGCCTAGACCTGTTTTTATTTTATTTTTTTTCGCCCTGTTGCTTCATATTTTTTCTGAAACAATCCGAGAAGCAACAAATTAAATTGGTGTGGCCTAAGCTAAGCATTCAAAACAGCCTGTTTGATGGTGCAAAACAAGGTACAAAAAATGTAAGAATGGGTGAGAAATTGAAATATCATCATTTAGGACTGGAAGCACCCTACTTTAACCTGCAATTACCAGGCTGAAAAATATCAGCAACTTGCAGGCTTAAAAATACAAGATCAGAACTATGAACTACAAATTGCAGGAAAGAGGAAAAAGTAATATTCTATGACATAATTGAAAAACTATGTAAATTTGTTCATACATGTTTCAAAAAGAGAGAAGAGATCCTGTAGTTAGATCCTGTAGATAGAGAAATAGCACACGAATGTACCAATTGCTTCTTCTATTCTTGTTACCAAGTTATTTAACTTAAGTGCATTTGGCCTGTGTAGGGTGTGAACATGCAATAAAGTTCATTGTCATTGTCATTAAAATATGTATATCAAACATTATGGAGTCCTTGGTACCTATTACATAAAAAATTGCTCCCCATATGCTGTAGGATTTAGACAAATTATTACAGATTATGTCACAACATTCAAAATGTATTCAAACTTACCGTAAAGTTTATTGGCCTGTTGGATGTTTGGTACGTACATCGGATTTTGATGAAGTTCTTTTGCGTTTGGAGGATTGCGAGGCTTGTGTGCGTGTTTGGTGGTGTCATGACTGGAGTTAGCTGTAGCCTGTTGGCGAACGTTTGTTGTTGCACTAAGATGGTTTTTGTTCTCGTACATGTTGGTAACAGCATAGGGTTCAATGTCACCATCATCAGTCACTGTACTGTCTGCATTTCTGGATGTCTGTTGGTAAACATTTGTTGTTGCGCTGTGATAGGCTTTGTTGTCCCTTATGTTTGCAACAGCGTAAGGTTCAATGTCACCATCATCAGTCACTGTACTGTCTGCTTGCATGATGTTTTCAGTGTTTTGCTGTTCTTCTTCACTGTTTCCAGTAGAGTTACATGTACCATCTTCTTCATTTTCCCCTGAGGCTGTGTACATGGCAGGGTTTTCAGCATGGATCGGATCAGATACAGAATATACATCAGCGACCTCTGGGGTGGGGATATCGTTATTATCTGCCATATAATAATGCTCATCTGTGCTTGTATGTTCGACTTCATTGCCAGCTACATACGTAGTGTTCAGCCTGTCTTGTTCTTCACTATTAGGAGCCATATAACAATCCTCATTTGTGCTTGTATGTTCGACTTCATTGCCAGCTACATACGTAGCCTCCAAATTGTCTTGTCCTTGACTACTGGGAGCCATATAATAATGCTCATTTGTGGTTGTACGCTTGACTTCATTGCCAGCTACATACGTAGCCTCCAAATTGTCTTGTCCTTGACTACTGGGAGCCATATAATAATGCTCATTTGTGGTTGTATGTTCGACTTCATTGCCAGCTACATATGTAGCCTCCAACCTGTCTTGTCCTTGACTACTGGGAGAGTTTTGGCCGCATGTTGACATTCTTGTTGGCTCTGCAGTTACAGTAGTGCTTTCTGTGTGTAGCACATTCTGATCAGAGAGTAGATTATCTTCATTTTGTCCTGGGCTTGTCGGCTGCTCTGGGTGGTTTGTATGATAAAACGGATTGTTGGACTGGGACATTTTGAATCTGTTGGCAAAGTCAGAATGGTAAGAAGATCTTACTTGCTATGGTTAGGAGCAGAGTGCTCTCACAGGGCCAGAGACAGGGCCAGGGGAGAGGAGGAGGCTGATACTGGATGCCACTATAGTCCCCGACCCTCAGACATGAGGATGGGACCAGGTGTTGACTCTAAAGGTCCTGGGTTCGAATCCCGGGCAGGGATCCCAAACAGTTGGGAGAAAACCAGATCTGATCCAGCTCTGTATGAGGCAGACTAATTATGGGATTGAGGAGTTTTGATGCTATACATGTTTAATGTACATTTGTACTTAAAAGAAATAAAGAATTTAGTATAATATTTATGTATAGACAGCCCAAGGACACTCCCAGTCCAGCTTCAACTTTCGTTTGTCAGGACTAGAAGCTAGGACCTTGTTATATATATTATATTATCTGTTACAGTACTGCAATAGATTATAATAAAACATGATACTGCAACTTTTAACCAAGGTAAGGCCACACCAATTTAATTTGTTGGTTCTTGGATTCACCTCTTTATTTTTATTCTGATCTGCAAAAAAAATGAAAGATTCCCGTTCTGAATCAGCTCAAAAATGCTCATATTTTGCCCCCAAAAGTTGAGGAAAGTCCTTTTCTTCCTAGTTCCTACAGTTTTTCCATCTATCAATGCAGTGGTTTGATTAAAAGTTCAAAATTCATTGCTTAAATATTAACCCAGCCTTTTGTGTTGACTTCATGGCTCATTTTGTAGCATTTTAGGCTATAATAGGATTCCTCGACTTGTTTTTATTTCTATTTTTTTCGCTTCATATTTTTTATGTTGTCCGAAAAATGCGAAAAATGTCCCAAAGTGTCTTTTTAGTTGTCCCGGCCTAAAGTTTGGTGGTCAGTGGCCGTCGGGACACCATTGATTTTGAGCCGTGTGTATTAGCGTCTAATGAGGTACATTCTTCCAACAAAGAAGACATCAATTTCTGACTCAACACTTACTGTTAAGTGAAGCCTTGAAAACTGCAAATACTGGCAAAACTGGATCCAGTTGTCTTGGAGACTGTTCCTGGCAAAATTTCTGGTCAGGAGAACCAAGTTTTCTCCAGTCGGCTCTGGGAGTGGTGTGGCACTCACAGCTCACTGGTAGACTAATGAGTAGATAAGAACTGCTGGTAGTGTGATGAAACAATATGCACTTATTGAACTTTTTTCTTTCATCTCATCTTATCTTGATGAGTTATGAGTTGACTGGATGTTTATTCATTGTTTTTTTTACCATAAGCCTCCCCCAATTTAATTTCTTGGTCTTCTGACATTTCTTAGCAGAAATTCAGTAGCTACAAATCAAATCAATGTGTAGTACCTCTCCTTGGTGCTGAACTCCTGGTTATACTAAATGCAATTCCTCATTTTTTAATAACAAGAACCAGTAAACTGTATTGATGTGGCCTATTCAAAACTTGTGAAATTTGTGCAATGTGTCATTCCCTGGTCCAGCTGCTATGTTGGGGTGGGATCCTGGCAGCCAATAGGATCATGTTGTTCTGTTATCATACATGTACAAGGATCTTTCATCGTTACCAGGAATTTTACCAAAGATTCATTTTATGTCTAGCTTGTGCCATGTTGGCTCTGAAATGATAGGAATATGGGCAAATTGCTAAGGTAGCTGTTTGGCACAAAATATATGTTTGACAGCAAGTACAAGGTTAAGTATGCAGTGATTTTTCTATTTATGAGATCCAATTTCTCAGCCTTCTGTTTTCTTCTTTCCTGATACTGAAATTTACTTCAGAATGTGAGAGAACCAACAAAATGCAATGGTGTGGCCTTCAGCTAAAAGCCATTTGTTCGTAATAAAATCTGGTCTGTTTCCTAATATTATCTTACCTAGAAAACCTTTAATCAAATAAGTTGGAGGACACAAGTCATACTAGGAGTCAATTTTATTTGTCACATTTCTTGACAAAGTTGGACATCTGAAACTCTACAAAATATTATCCAATGCAAAATTTCCTTATAACATCAAAATATTAGGAAACAGTATCCTTCATACATATCAGAGTCTTTTTCCTCTACTGTACATGTCTGGACTTGCACCCAGACATTGTGTCCTTGGGAAAGGCACTTAACACGCATTTCCCCACTCAGTTAGAGGGTTCCTGGGCCCTACTAGGGTTTGGGTTGGCGTTAGGAAGAGCATCCAGCCGTAAAAATCTAGCTTAAAAAAAAGATTTGTACCTGGTGCAAACACGTCTAACCCCCGGTTGGGGAAAAATGACGTTTAATTCGGTTAACAAAAAAACACATTACAACCAAATCATGTATTCAAAACAGTGCTTCACTGATCATGCTAGCACCCCCTTTCTACATAGGAGGCTGACAGTACATGTATCAAGCAACAAAAAATTGACATATTTCTCAATTAATTTCACAGATAAAGAATTATAGGATAAAAAAAGTTCAAACTGTCTTGTGCTCTGCACTGGTAAATGTACTGGGTATATGCAGGTTTTTACTAATTAGTGTAGGTAAAATTGGATCCGACCGGCCTGGAAACCACATTGGCTCTCTGGGAGCAGGCCTTATAAAGTAGGAAATGTTAATTGTTCTCAGTCATAATGGGGATACCTGTTCACTGATATGTGTATCATAAATGACATAAGGTTGATCCAGAATCAAGTACATTTGTGGGTTCTTGCAGCCAAGACTTATAAGATTGTGACCTGAGCAATGAGTGAAATTCACAACACAATTTCAAGTCAAATCCAATCACATCTACAATGCACATGTAAAGCAGCATCAACTATAACCAACTGGAAAATCTTCTGTATCAAATCCTGACACTTCTCCACCAAAAAACTTTTCTGTGTCATCTTGGTCAGACTCCTTTACATTGGTTTAGTACGGTCTAGTGTCTCATGTCCAGATGACACTTCTCGTCATTGATTAAAGCCTTGATCACTGCTTCATGGCCTGACCAGGGATGCCTGTAGGGGAGGACTGTTTACTCATCTTTGTTCAATCCACAGACTCTCAGCAGGTTTTGGTGTGACTTTTCCCAGTACTTGGACTCCAAGAGCTTCCTCTTGTACTCTGCTGCCTTCTCAAATTCTGCCTCAGAGAATTCCAAGGTGTCCACAATCTCCTTTGCCCATTTTCTTGCATCTTCACCCAGGTCGGACTCATTCACGCTGGTTTCTATGATCCTGCGCCTCATGTCTGCAGGGCATTTCTTCTCCTTGATCAAGTCCATGATCATGTCTGCCAGGCCTGACTTGTCAGAGATGAGTACAGGGATGCCTGCTGCGATGGCCTCCAGACCGATCAGTCCGAACGGCTCGGCGCGGGACGGCATCAGGACCAGGTGGGCCTGCTGCATGTCCTGAGCGATGTCCTCCTGGGTTCCACAAGGCAGCAGAGTGGGTTTGATCCTACCACTGTGCAGGTTTTCCTCCAGGATTCTCTTGCTTGCTTCATAGTCATCTTCATCTATCCCGCGAACACGCAAACTGACGTTTGTAATCTTTGCAACCTCCCCCATGGACCGTGCTACCAGGTCATGGCCTTTCAGCTTGTCCACTTCGGTCACTCTCCCGACAGCCAGCACGACTTTTTCTCCTCCCCCTGGTTGAACAGAGATGGCTTCAAACACTGGGGATGGCCTTGGAAGGAACATCAAGTGTTCTTTTGGTTTGCTTTCTCCAAGTGACTTGTACTTCGCCTCGAAGTGGTCGAAGATCCTTCTTCCCAAAGAGAACACGGCATCTGCATTCTTGGTATCCTCGAGGATGTCTTCCATCTTCTTCCCTGCAGCCATTGCCTTCTTAGTTCCCTTGAATTGCTCTGTCTCTTCTGGTATGTCATGGTTAAAAAGAACTAGTTTCGCCTCTTTGCGGCAATCCCTTTTGATTCTCTTTGCTGCTTTACAAGTGACATCTGAATGACCCACAATGCACTTCAGATTCCGTGGTATGTCTGGGTAACGAGACTCATGGTCGAAGGTCAACATTTCCAAACAAGGCGTTCTTGGGTCTCCTGGTTCTATGGCAGGCAACATCAAATGGATACCATCTTCATCGGCGCACCTCTTGTCTTCTTCAGATGCTTGCACGGCTGTAGCATGAACTGTAGCACCATGCTCTTGCAGAAACAGGGCTACCTGGCGGTTTGTGGTAGACCTACCTCCATGGGACGTGCCGTAGTTATCATTAACCATCAGGACAGACGTGACCTCTGCAATAAAAATGAATGGAGTGTCATAATTATAAGAAGAAAAATTCATTTCGAGTTATGACTGGTAAAATGCAAACAATACTTTCTTAAATGCCAGCCTTCTCAAAAAAATTTAGAGTAGGTGGCTGATAAGAAAAAGTAGCAGGCGAGCCACGAAGTGGCTCGAAGCGAGCTGCGCAGCGGCTCGCAGGGGGGAGGGTACGGGAGGGGGGTGGACCCCCCTCCCGTTGGGGGGGTCCGGGGGCCTCCCCCGGAGGAAATCGTAAAAATTAGACCCCTAAACATCGTTTTTGGTACATTCTGAGCAGCTTTTATGGCAATCTTGTGGCTCCAAAATTTACTGTTCGTGCACAAATAATTCCGGAAAAAGGCTGTATTAAAATTGTTTGCCACTCCGATCGTATTACGCGCGGTCCTTGCGCCCGGCCACAAAATGCAGAAAAATAAAGAAAGCATATTTAAATGTCAATTTGATCGAAAACATAATCATTGGGATGTGAAAAAATGTCACAGTTTCGCTTTTTGGAAGTTTTGTTTCTGTTTTGACGGTTTAATTCTAGCGGGGAGCGATCCATAAATGCCCTATGGAAATTCACCCCGCGTCCCGGTACACTGACTTCCGGGTTCCTTGAACAAGAAAATTACGAGAAAATGGCCAAAAATCGGCGTAGAGAAATATACATCTTCCCGAAAATTCTTTTAATTATGTATTTCTTTAATAGGATGTTGCTTAGTAGTCGTAGAAAAAACGTAGAAAGCAGCGTAAATGTGTCTCTTCTTCACCGGCGAGAGCCTGCCGGCGAGGAAAATCTTCCCGCGCTGCCGGCTGCTGGCCACATCGCTTATCCAATCAGAACGCAGGTCATGTGAGGTGAACCAATCAGAGCGTCGATCGCACGCTGCTACTTACTTATTCATGACAAGATGGCGCCTGAAAGCTCCTGTTTTTGTACAGCGATGTGGAGTGTGCGTGTTTTTATTCCGGCGTTTTGACGCTGATTTTTGGCTAGCCGTGATTAAGCTACAAATGCCACACTAGTGGAGACAACAGATGAGTGATCATTTTACGATCGACAAGAACTTTTGATGAATGAAACAGCTGTGAAATCTCGCTGATGGCGATTTGTTTTTCAAAATTTGTCTCTGTGTATGAAAGATATGAACACGCTTCTATACATGTCTTGATATTTTTTGACGTGATTTGTACTAGTTATTTGTAGCAGGAATGTTACTAGTGCCGGGAGAAGTTGGGAAGGTAGCGGCTTGATAAATTTTCGAGTTTACGAAGCAACGAGTTTACGAAGCAAGTTCCGCCTAGCTCGAGCGATACAGCTCCGCGGATACAACTCGAGCCCCGAACAAGACCCTCCCCCCGTAAAGTTTCGGCCGCTCTGGCCGGCCGCGGGCCGCTCGTAGAAGCAAACGCTGACTCGTGCACTAGAAATCTGCACAGGAGGCTAAGAAAGAAGCAGTTTTCAGATCCAGAAAGCTAGCAGAAATTTGTCTGAAGTTCGTCAGAAGAAATGAGCCGGTGAAGTTTGTGAGAAAATGTAACGGAGCTTACTTGTTTTTCTGAAAATTTAGACGAAAGTAGCCGGCGCAAAAATTTGAAAATTTTGACCAAAGTAGCCGGCGCAAAAATTTGAGTAGGCGGCGATTTTCGCCGGTAGCCGGCTTGTTTTGAGAAGGCTGAATGCCCTATTGATTAATAAGGAGTATTATTATTAAGGACTATATCAGTATAAAGTAATTTATATCAACTGTAACATCTCTCATTAGCTGAAAACCTATTTGGGTTACTGGGTCAATATGCGATTTTCTTAGAATAATTAAAAAAATAATTGTTATAATGATAATATTTCCGGACAAAACATTCTTGATACATTTTTTGACAGTATGCATGACTTCATCCATACCTTGCTTTGGTCGCTTTACCAAGTGTCCACTGTCGCTGGACTTGCCTACATGCCGCGTTTTGGCTTTCCTCTTGCCACCTGTAACCAATATAAGATTGTTAAGCAATATAAGCCATTGTGATGTTATCCATATGATTTCCTTTTCTTGTCTGGCCTACCGTCATACAGAATTATAACTCTCAAGCAGAGACAAAGATAGAAGCATTTGTATCCTGGTACAAAATTATCATGTTATATCTTACCTTTCTTATGTTGTATCTGGGACGCCTTCGTCATGGTGATCACAGTGCCTTCCTTCTGCTGAACCTGACTTGTCCCTCCTTCATCTGTAATGGACATAAGATAAGAATGTTTACAGCTTAAATAAAGACAATTCATGGTTAGTGGGGTGTACAAAGGAGTTCAATTTTCTTTTTGCTCTGTATCATATTTTTCATTATAATACACAAATCACCAGTACAGGAAAACAATAAGCCAATGATCTACCTTCAAAGTGAAAAAACACTGTTGCTGACGGGATCCGGTGCTTGAGACCAGTTGTTTGTGATCCAGACTCAGAAAGTCGTCTGAAATGCACGGCTCCTTGGTACCTGTTTTTGGTTTGGCCCGGATTGTTCAGAATCAGTCCAACAGACCACCTGTTGCAGTCAGCTGGAGGGAACAAGAAGCTGATACCATCTGAGACATCAAGAGGGTCTCCGATGACTTCTTTCCTGTGGTCAAATGTGGCATCTATCATTTCTTCACTGCCCATGACAATGCGTTGTTTGAACGGTGGGAGCGGTCGCATATTCTCAGCTTGGAAAAAGTCATTAGGGTCGTCGTCCTTGTGAACACACATGAGGTGGATGCAGTTGTTGTCTGTTGTTGCCTGGTTTGGGTTTATGATGAGGTACACTTTGTCTTTAGTGTACCCGTTCCAACAAGCCTGGTATGACACAGATGTGGTTGGAGATGTTGGTGTTGATGGAACATTTGACTCTGATGCCTCCCGATTGGCTGTCTCCTCCTGGTTCCCTGGCTTCTCTGCAGTGGAGGTCGAATTTTCTCCGTCTTTGCCACTTTCCTTGGCACCGGCAATCCTGACAAATCAAACAAGACAAGGAGAAATGTAATTGAGGAAATCAACAATAAATCAGTATATGTAATTGCCTAAAATATGTGAGATAATTAATCTATCATGCAAGCCCAGTGCATTACCCGGAAAAGTGTCTCGTTGTGAATGTGACTGCGTCCTCTGTCTCTTGAAACTCTGTCCTTAGCAACGACCACTTCGGAGGATTTGATTTCCTCTCCATCAGGACAGTCTTATCTGTGCTGCAGTCTCTCTTCTTCCATGCCCATGGCAGTGTGACGCTCACGGGCTGTAAGAAGTCCTCCTCCTTTTCCTGGTGCACGGTCAGTACCGGGGTCACAGCTGAGAAAGCCTTTGTTAAGGCGTCATCAATGGGGAGCATTTCGACCTGTAAGAATACAATAAAAGAGGAAGTGGCAAAAGTCATTCTTGGTGGATTTTGGGTGAAAGTTCATGTTTCACAGCTGCTCATTTCACAAGCAACATGAGTCATCGTGCTTCATGTGTATATGGGCATATGTTGGAGCAAAAACAGAAGCTGCATAATTGTCTCTAAGCTACACATAGGATGGCATGTGACACAAATGAACTGCAAAGCAAAGAAAGTAGATATGACTTTACCTCCAAGGACAGGGACCTTTCTGTCCTGACGCATCCTTTTGGAAAGGATATGGTCACACCATCCTCCTCAATCGTGCAGCCTTCTTCTGTGATTCTGTACGTGTGCAGCACAACAGAAGACGACGCCTGTAGGAACAAATTGGGATTCTTTACAATGACGAAAAGAGATTCGACGCGCCTGTCTTGGTCCACAAGAACATATGATTACAAAGTATTGCAACTGACATTGCATTGTATCATCATCAATGAACGCACCTTTCTCAGGATTTCTGCAGACACAAGACTGATTTTGGTATTGGACAGTGGTTCTTCAGCCATTGGTACTTCTGTTGATGTCATATCCAACATCCCTGTACAGCGCCTGCCGAGCATCTCTAGCAAACGCTCTCTGGTTCCATCAGGGTACGCAAAGACCGGAAAGACCAGGTTCTTGTCCTGTACGCAGAATTCGTACCCGAGCGTGGACCAGTGCCTGCTGTGGTCCTGTGGTGTGATGATCGGTACAACCATTCTGACATTCTGCTGGAGGAGATGATGCAAGAGTTTGTCTGTGATGGTTTCTCCTGGTTCGATGAAGTCTTCAGACACCGTTACACCGTACCTGCTGGAGGACTGGACTAACTGTTTCAACAGTGGCTGGACGAGCTCGTCATTGTAGTCTCCGACGTGTAGGAGGACAATCTCGTCCCCTAGAAATAAACATAAAATAATCATTGTGGGGGGGGGGGAGAGGATTCAAATTACAGCAAAAGAATTCAACGATGTTTTTAAAGTACCTCTCTCTTCTTTGAGGAACATAGGTGAATACATGTAGGTGTAGGAACATACTAGGAACATGAATATTTTAATGTGTCAGACAAAAGGGGGGAGATAAATCAGAAGCTTCAAACTACAGCCAGGGAAAACGTACCTCTCTCTTCTCTGGAGAACATGGGTGCTCTCTCAGGCAGACAAACTTCCACGGACGCTCCCAGCAAGCGACGGCACATGTCTCCGGACCTGTTGACGGTAGCAACCAACTCTTTGAACCTGCTGACGGATGTGAGCTCGTGTCTGATCCAATCACACTGCGCCAGACTCAGCCCTCTGCAGGTCTCCATACAGTCCAGGACAGGACCGATCGTGTGGACTGCATCAAGGTTCAGCGTGGGCTCTATCATCACGGGCCCAGAACCACCTGAGTTCTCTGCATGTGCAACATATTCTCATTAGTAACAATTAAAAACACTGTCTTAAGAAGATGAGCTTGACAAAATCAGACATCTGAACAAATTTACCTGCACAGGTCGTTCTCTGATCACGGCTACCACCCATCCAGACATCGATGAAGTCTTCTGGAAATCTGAGATTAAAAATCAGTTTGTCACACAATGTGCACAATGATAGGAAAATACAAGGGGAGTGAACACCAGGCACCCTCTTATGCGTTTCCACCAAACAAACATGCAAGAAGAATGTGCTAGTCAAATGAAAGGGTTCACTGAAAAAAAGTGAAAATGTAACTGGTCTTACCGACTGGATCCTGTTGCCGTTTCTTGCCAAATGTCAGAGAGCGGGTAGAATTCTGGTGTTTCGGTTTCTTCTCCTGACTCCTCCCCGAAGCACCAGTCATACTGGATGGACGGGATCCACTTCTCCTTGATCTCGAAGAGACAACTGCTGAGGAACTTTCTAACAGGAAGGGCCTGTGTGAACACTGGCTGGTCTTCAGCCGACAGAAGCTCCACCTTCAGGTAGTGCTTCACTTTGGTTACCACAAACTGTTGCTTTACATCGTTGGTAGGGAAGCGGCCGCAGCCGGCAAACACGTGGGACTCTTCAATACCGAACCTGCGCACACAGATGGCCTGTAGACGGTAGAACATGCCGCTTGGCAGGAACATGTTGTCGAATACGACATACAGAGGACGCCGGCCTCTCCTCATGTCCCCAGGATACAAGGTGCTGTCGTCAGGCTTTGCGGACAGGAGAGAAGGTACGAAGTAGATCTCTTCTTTCTCAGGATCACCCGAAGTGTCATCAAGCCCACCAATTGGTGTGGCATTGCAGAGGAGGTAGTACTTTTCCATCAGTCTCTTCAGGAAGTCCTTGTGTTCGAGTAGGAATGGTTTCTGCATCTTCTGATCTGCTTTGGTCCAGATGATTGTCAACAGCCTGTCACTGAGGATGCCTTCGGTCTCCAGCCTCCTCCACATCTTGGCAACCTCCCCATCCGTGATCCTGTCCTGTTGGTACTCCGGGACGGTGATGATGGTCTTGAAGACGTCAATCATCACCTGGGATCGAAGGGTCACGTGGTCACGAAGAATGGGTTCATTGATGAAGATGATGTCACCAAGGTCGTGCAGGAAGGTCAAAATGTCGGCAACATGGCTGTTGTCTGTGATGCCCACGTCGCTCCGGGCCAGATCGACGACATCTTGGAAACGGCAGAATGGGACGTCATCTCTCCTCTTGTCCATCAGTTTGGACTTCAGATGAAGCCAAGTCATCGGCACCTCCTGACCCATGAACCACAGACCCTTCGCTACCTCACGGAGGTATTCTCGGAGCTCGTCAATGTCGCTGTTGTCCTTGTCGAAGTTGTCAATGACAAATATCTTTGGTAAGACGTGTTTACCGGCGGCCTTACCACTGATGTGATCAAGTATGTCTTTCTTATACTCCTCAATGTCCGACTGAAATCAAAGAGCACAAAGTTAAGGACATCAAAGTGACAATTTGAGAATTTCAAAACAAGTCAAGGCTGATCCTTTCAGCCATGGATATTTAATACATGTTTAAGGGCAAAGACAAGCTTGAGGACTATTTGTAGACTTAAAAAAGGATCCTCCATACCTCGCTGACCCTGCCCTTGTGCGTGAGGACCAAGACGACAGGCGGCTCTCCTGTCTGCTCCCGCCCGTGCACCAGGGTGTGTGTGCGGATGGAGTTCAGCCAGTGGTCCAAGTAGTCTGGAAAGGTACATTCAGTAAATTATTTTGTGCTAAAATTTCTGGTATAAAATATTTCTCAGTGTTTCATTTTACATGTACAATTGCAATATGTGCTATTGTTAAGTTCACAAAATACCAAATTGTCATAAAATTGGATGATGTTCTGGATATTTGTTGATCAAGCCAAAAGTATGTCAACACGTGAGTCTACAATAAGAGATGTACACACCTCTTCCAGTTACGAGGTTGTCCGCTGAAGCCTTGTAGTCCAGATCAGGAACTGGATCGGACAGCTTCTGCTCCAGTGACATGACCAGGATGTAGATCCCGCGGTACGTGAAGAAGCACTGGTGCGAGCCGTAGTACGCGGCCTGGCCACCGAAGTCCCAGAGGGAGATACGCGGGTGTTCGGCTGTTCCAAGCTGCTCCTCGGTCACGCCACTTTGGAGTCGCTCCTTGGCTTTTTTAATGACATCATCCGGAATGTCTTGTGTCTGTCGTGACATAGTCATGGTCACACTTTCTGCTCTCCCTGAAACGAAAGATTTGTGTTGTTTACTTGAATAGTGTACCTGAACTAAGAAACTTTACCTCTGCCATTCATTCTTTGGGATCTTCTGACTTTTCTGTAGGGACTACCTACTAATTAGCCATTGGTTTTCCCTTGGGCTCTAAGACCTGTATTTAAAACAAAGAACAGTCTGACGTAAAGCAAATTCTCTACATCTTATATTATGTGCATTTCTAACTGGTGAAAACATAGCATACATTTCCCACCTTCTTTCTCATCTTTTTTCTTCAGTTTTGGTGTCTCTTGCCTTTGTGTCGGGGTATGCTTTTCCATCGATCTCTCTTGCTGCATTTGCAAAGGCTGCTTCCTTGTTGTTTTTTGTGCTTTTCCTGGGTCTTCTATGAATACAAGTAAATCTGTGAGATATCACTGTCCCTCCATCCAATACGAATGATGACGTAAAAGCGGTATAAAGACGTCAATTCTCTTGTTCTGTGTGACAGTACATTCTAGATTAATGAATGAAACTTTTATGCTCTTTTATTCCTTGGCTCTAACCATCATTGTTCTGACCGGATGTGTTGCTTGTCCTGTACATGTGTATATCATGTCCATTGATATGTAATTAGTGATATTGAATACCTGTAGTTTTTTTCCTGACTGCTCCTTGGGTTTGTGACGATGTCTGAGGGCGTGGGTTGTTCCGTTCTTGTTGTTTTTCAGCTAAGTGTTCTGCCATGGTTTCCTTGAATTCATCTGGCTCCTCTGTAAGCAAAAGACATCATACGTCATTTTGATCCATTGTTACAATTGAGGACAGTTTGACAATTTCTTTTTCGACAATTTTCGAGTTCTATTCTTTCAATTATAGTTTTCAAGAACATGACTGTTTGTAAAACATCACAATAACGAGTATGTATTATTTATGTATAGCTAACACTGCATAGAAAGTTGTAACAAATGATCATAGTTTTCTTTTAGTACCTCTTGCCTTCCACCAAGTATTGGTCTTCACACTGGGTATGATCTCGATGCCATCTGTTATCGGTTCGTTCACCACAGCCTTCTCTCCTGTCAGCCTCCTGACGACACACGTCTTCCCGGACCTGAACTGACCAACCACGAGCCCGCGCACGCAGTGCACTGGTCGCACCCCCTGGCGGCAGGCCTGGGAGTACAGCTGCTGCATCCCAGGACCCCGCAGCTGTATTTCTAGTGGGACGCTGCTCTCTCCTGGATGAGAAGAACCATTTACCCGACATTATCACTCTACTTCTTGTATACATACATACAGCCGACATCTGATTAGATAGATATTAATCTTGATAGAACGACCTACAGGGTCAGTATTTTACAGCTAAAATAGTTAGGTGTTGTACCTTACCCTTCTTTGCAGATATCTCTAAGTGACATTGGGAATGCTTGGGACACTAATCATCTTTGGCTGAATTTACAACAAATTTTAAGTTATAACTTATTTGCAAACTGCTCCTTTGCAAATTACATTAGAAAGGACTTTGATGAGTGATACAAATTTTAAACCAACAGGTAAAGCTAAGGATACCTCAATTTCAGTTTTCAAGATACCAGCAGGCAAACAGAAAAACACACTCTATTGCACCTACATTTAACAAATGCTAAACCTAATCACTGAATATCAGAGATGCCTGTCATTGACTGCCTGGTGTTTTTTTGTTAATCCCTGTATTTTCCAATCATTCATTTTTCTTAATATGTTGCAAAACGAATTCTACTGAACAGGAATAACACAGAAGGCAAGGAGACTGTACCAGGACGCTCAGCTCCATCTTGACTTGTTGACTTCTGGCTGCCTTGTAGTTTTTCCACCTCAGCTTTCAACGATTGGTTTTCCTCCATCAGCTGTGCCAGCTTGTCCTCCTGATGCCCCTCACCAGAAGACCCTCCGGCTGCCAGGCGCTTGGCTGGTGGCCCGCCTGATGTATCTGCCGGCCGCTTAACTGGCTGGGTCTGTAAAACCAAGCAATGGAATGTTATAGCAATATATGTACTAGGTAGATATAGAAAAATATGGTGAATTGTACACACCAAAGCCAACTTGGTGCCAATACCTTAACCCTTTCTGCCTCCTTTGCCAGACGGTCCATGCCAAATTCACTCAGCTCCTGCTGAAGCTTGTCCATGGATGCTTCTCTGTCTGTCTCAATCCACTTCAACAGCACGTAGTTGGCCTGGAACCTTGGTGTTTGGGTCTTTGTAGCCTGACAGACAGTAGAAGGGTAAAAATGCAATGACGCAAGGATTGTTGTGTTTTGTAGAAAGAATAACACTTACCGACTAGTAGTCAAATGTTATCAGAACCAAAATATTTACTTGGATAGTGCTCAGCTCATCTGCAGAAAGCCCAAGTGCTCCGGCCAGATCCTCCACCTCGTCTTTGGTCACGTTTTGTGAGAAATGGGAAAAGAGCTTCCTCAGCTCTTTATCTGTAATAGATGAAACATTGACATTATTTGTGATATATAACTGCAATTTTACAGTTCAATTTTTGCCTGCATTAAGAAAAGTATCCAGTATAGAGTGGATATCTTTTGATATTAAGCAAAATGAATGATCTGTGATAAAAAATCATATCATGTACACCCACACAGACTGTTTACACACAGTGCAATCTTCATGTTTTTTGGTTACCTTTTCTCTTGACCTTATCGATATTGAGGCACACAAAATGGACCTACAAATGCTGCCAGTAGCACATGGTATTTAAATTTTAGGTATTTACATCGCATCTTTCTTATTGATAGATAAATTTATCAAATTCTTATCTTGCCTTTCCCCTCGGTACATACCTTCCTTTTTCCTTCTGAGGAAGTCCATGATGGTGGCTGTGCCTTTCTCACAGACATCAGGAGGGGGATATGTCAGGGGGTTTCTTGAGATGTCCATGTCCACAAGTTGGGCCATTCGGCTCAGATTCAGGGGAAGATGGGAAATCCTGTTATATGACAAGTAGAGCTGCCTGATGTTGGACAGGTTCATGATTTGTTCAGGAACTGATGTGAATCTGTTTCCAGCAATGTTTAGCTCCAACAGTTCTGACAGTTCTCCAACACCATCCGGCAGTGACTCCAGGCCACTCTCCTGAAGATCTAAGACTTGTAGGTTCTTCAGTCTGCTTATGTCTTCAGGTACAAGTGAAGGTTTGCCCTCCCCAGCCCAGTTCCCCATGTGTAGCGTGTTTAGACCCTCCAGCTGCAGCACCTGTCTGGGGAACTCATCAAACTGACAATTATCAATATCAAGCCTCGTCAGTCCTGTGAGCTGAGATATCTTGTCAGGGAGACACTTGAGGGGGTTGTCTCCCACGCTCAAGATCTGAAGTTGAAGAAGTGAACAGACTTCCTCTGGTATCTCTTTGAATACATTATTCCGGATGTAGAGATACCTAAGTTGTTTTAACCTGGAGAATCCATCAGGCAATGTCTCCAACTTGTTGTATGACAAGTCAATGTACTGTAGGTTACATGTAGGTAGAGTGGTGATTGCCTGGGGCAGTTGTGTCAGCAGGTTGTTGTTAAGTTCAAGCCTCTGAAGCTTCTGTAGTTGCCCTATCTCCTCAGGTATGCTCTTCAGCCTGTTGTTAGACAGGACAAGACGTTGAACATCTCTGTTGTCAAACACCTCGGCTGGCACGGAGGTCAGTCCTTTGTCACGGAGGTCGATAGTGAGCAAGTCATCCACCACTTTAGGTTGGAGAGCTGAGAAGACAGTAAAAAAAGTTTGCAATGAGCATTTTTGTTGACATGGATGTAGAAATCTGCCAATGTGTTCTGGTGTATGTAT